TACAATTCATCGAAACAGAATTGTAACAAGAAAAAAAGGGTTTGCAAAGTCCTCATGCTTTTCATTTGCTGACTTCAGCATATCGTCCATCCATCCACACCCACCCACAACCCACTATGACATGCTCCCACTCACACAGACTCAGCTGTTAGTTACTAGACCAAATACTCCTTTTGCAGTTGGACACAGATTAGCAAAGAGTACCTGGTTTGTTTATATTCTCTTTACTAGCTTTCTAAGCAATTATTTGTCCTAGAAAAGCCTTATGTGGTCCGCTGCATTGCATTCCATAAGCCAATGTTGAATGTCAGGGGTCAACATCTTCACGACAGTCATTCCAGGTTGCTTTTTATGAAAACGATTTAACACTGCTTGTATTATATCAAGTATACTTTATTCCTTTGAAATGAAAAAGCAACTACAGCATATATGTAATGGCAGACCCTGCACTTCTTTTTTGCTCATAATGCTTTTTAATTTCATTTATTTGAGCACAGTAGTCCTCACAGCAGCCGTTGTTGCAGTGAAAAATGCAAACTCAGTACAGAACCATCAGAATATACATTTCATCACAAAAACTAGAAATCCCAAACTTTGCAAAACATTGGAGACATATGACACTTTATAAAATAGCATTTAACAATGATCCATTCCATATTTCTTTACATAAACAATGCAACATTTTATAGAATATTATTTACATAAAACAATAAACAAACCTTGGACCTAGGTTAAGGGTTACAGTCAAAATTTGCGGTTAAACATTAGTGGTACAAATGACGCTTCTTCAAGCATCCCTCAGTGGCAAGCTAAGGAGGGGTGAGCATAAACTCTTTATACAATATATTGAGTATTATGTGAATAAACATTTTGCTTTCATTACAAACTCTTAATAAGATATTCATCTTGATTAATAGTAACCCACTTCTTGCTTGCAACTTACTGCCGTGCATCACTGTACAGGCATAAATCTATTTGACCGTAACAATATTGCTTTTTTATGGACCAGTTATCCTATATATTATGTAATATATCTTTCAGTGATGTATCCATTTCGTCAAATGGTTGTTGGTAAAATAGCCATTCAGCCAATAGTCAATCAGATGACTTTATCAGTGAAAAGTCCACGAAGGATCATATAGGTTCTAGAGAGTTAGAAACGGCAGAAAGTCATGAACTTATGTATGATGGTTTATGAGGATTGAACCAGTCACAAGGTGCAGTTCATTTATTGATTAAATAATTCATCCCCCAGGACAGTAGAAAAGAGTGAAGACAAGTCACCCATCATCACCTTCATTGACCTGGCCAAGCACGAGAATGAAAATAGTAATCAGAGTACAAGAGGTAAGAAGAAAAATGATGTTCATCCTCACATGCATATTAAATAATTTGATGTCAGTGTAATATATTGTAATTTTTTCCTAATACATCCACATATCAGATGGCAATGATTTCAACATAACAGATCACAACAATTTTGGTATTGTTGGATTCCTCTCACCATCTACAATGCAAATTTGTAGCTGCCCAGGAAAACAAAGAATCCTGCATATATTCACGGCAAGAAAGAGTGTCAGCATGGTAGTTGTACACTCTCCTGCAGTGATAACCTGGAGGATTCTTTGCTTTCCTGGGTGGGAAATCAGTCACTATATTATCACTGTATTGTCAGATGCAGTGGTCACAGCCCCCTGCATTTGACTGATTCTGTGTATATTACTTACATTTTACCCTGCAGTTTTCCTGGTACCTTTCATTCCCTCCCCTGCTATCAGGGCTAAGAATGCGGGTTAAATGTGGGGTATTTCCACATAATAATTTCTGTATATTTGTAAATTAGACAGTCAGAGGAATCCAGCAGAGCCAAAATCATCACAGTCTCTTCTGCTGGTGTGTTAGAAAAATCACTAGATATATTTGTAGATGAGATTACCTCCTTGATCCCAGTGAAATAGTGACACTTTTATTCAAGCATCTAGATTACCACATATATATATTAATTTTTGCCTTTGTGGACCCTAGATAATTAGAGTTAATGTTCTATGATACTTTGCCATCTTCACATACAACAAATTGAGAAAAAATATATTGCAGAGTCAGAGAGTGACAGCGTGGTCATCACAGGGGAGGTGAAGAAGCCAACAGCCAAGAGCAATGCCCTTGAAGAGCATTTGCAAGCATCACCAGTGTACAGCTTAGACTGGCTGAAGTCATTGTTAGTATTGTATTATTGATTGACTTTAAGGTTAACATTGATTCTTAACTTCAGTGTCACAGACAAACTAGAGTTGACATCATACCAAACACATGTTTGCTGTTGGGTGCACAAATATAGACCACACTATATTTGTGGCATAGGATATATACAAGCCAGTGAAAATGGTATTTTATGCCTGTTCCACATTTGGTTAAGAATCATTTTTAAAGTATGATTGCTTTTATTTGAATTTATACAGACGTTATATGTTATAGATTTATTTTATATGAGTATTGTGACGGAAATATGGTAGAATCGAATAGAAAAAGTCTAAAATTGTTATTGTATAACTAGTTATCCTCCTCATTTTAATTGAATTTCATATTTATTCAGTAAACCTTTTTAAAGATGTAAATTATTAAACTATTCACATGTAAAATTAAATGCTCAAAAGCTGAAACAAATGACAGAGAAATATCAAATATATTTACAGCCGGGAAAAATATGAGATCAAAGGTAAGACACGAGAAGCAGAGGCAGAACAAGCAGTAAAGACAAAAGAAATGTTTGAAGAAAAGAGAAAAGCTTTCCAAGCCTCCTTGGATGAGCGTATTGCCCGGAGGATGAGAGATCTGGATCTTACCTTCCCATCAAAGGTTGAAGAACTACAACCTGAGGAGGAAGAAGAGGAAGAGGAAGAACTTGTTCCTCTGACTCCAGAAATGGAGGTTAGTAGAATTGATATATCCTCACAAATGAAGTTTGTTAAGAGAATAAATGGACATTTTTAAACAAGGTAAAATTTATGAAGAAACTATATTAGAAAGATAGATTAAAAGGTTACATTTATAATTGCTACAATGCAATGTCCTACATTTTTTTTTTTTTTTTTCTTTAGGTACTTTATATATTTAGTTAGAAATGTTAATGCCTTTCAGGAAGTTATAGATGATGCACTAAGAGGAAGACCACCTGGAGAAGTGCTTGTTGAGAAGTTCAGCATCCAGATCACCCGAAAAGATATTGCTACTCTCTGTGGCCTCAACTGGTTGAATGATGAGGTAATGGTTTTTAGAATCTTGGCCTTTGTTTTTGTTTTTATTTTATTCCATTTGTTTTTTATATTAAGTATTATATTTTTCTCTACTCTTATTATTTTAGTTTTAGTATGAAATTTGTAATATGATGTAACAGTTTTAAGCCACTGTATTCCTGTTGAATTGGATATGAGATTCTAAATAAGGAGATTGGTTTCATGCTTTCAGTTATCCCACATAGGATTTTAAATTAAACATTGACTGTAAAGTCATTTCCTATGGTTATTTCATATAGCATTGTGTATAACAATATTAAGTCTACAGAAACCATTTTATCTAGTGTATTTACCCTTTCCAATTAAGACTTTTTTTTTGCTTTGTAAGAAAGATAACAGATTAGAGATTTTATTTTTATTAATGCATCTATGTACCTCATCCACAGTACAACTATGTGGCTGATTTTTACTTTGGTATCACTACTTGCTATCCATGGTGTTGTGTTTGGGTTCAGAATCTTAACCCATTGGTTTCATATTCATCATGCAGTGCTTTAGTACACTGGTACAATAGTATCAAGTCTGTTTTGGTAGATAGAGATTAGTCATGTATTCTAGAATTGAGCAAATGTGTTTTATTTCACTTTTATTTTTCTCTCTCTCTCTCTCTCATTATTTTCTTATACATTTGCGGATATGTATATAAACTTTCAAGACTGTGAAATACAATCAGTGATGCATCTACAAAACATCAGTGACAAAAGAGTAAAGTGACAATTAACAATCCCTTGTATGATGCAGTGTATAATTTGTGAAATTATTAGCTAATCTGTATCTTGAAATAATTATCGTCCTCCAATATAAATGTATGAGAGACTAATTCCAGACTGTAGCATTTTGATTAGGTCTTGATTTCTTTAACTTATTTGGTCTTGTGTGTAATTATGTTTTTTTTTTATTCTTTTCAGGTCATCAACTTCTACATGAACCTGTTGATGGAACGAGGGAAAAATGATAATTACCCCTCTGTATATGCCTTCAATACATTTTTTTACCCAAAATTGGTGAAGACAGGCTATTCAACTGTCAGAAGATGGACCAAAAAGGTGAATTATTAAGAGATGCTAACAATATTTTAACTTGCAAAAGTAACTAGATGCCAGTGTGACAGACATGAATATTGTATTTTATATGTGTATCAGTTTTATAACCAAGCAAAGTTGCATTCTAAAATGAGACATTAAAGTCATTTACAAATGATTTAGGTCATCTAGTTTTTCTTCTTTCTTTTTCATTATTATTGATTTTTTATTTGTTTTATTTATTATTGTTATTATTTTCTTTTTTATAATCACTGCCAAATACAGAAGTGTATGTGAATTTGAATATATTTCTTTGCATACATCTGTAGGTGGGCTGCAGAAATTTTGTCTATATTCACCGAGCATACAGCATTAGGCAAATCTGAGTTCATTATCTCCCTTTTGAAATGGACTTCATTGGAATAAATCTTTGAGATGTTTTATTGCAATACAGTCTTTTTAGTAACTTTGCACATTCATGACATCTATTTTTATAGTTAAGGCCGTGTCACACTAGCACTTTTTCCGTCAATTTTTTGACAATTTTATTTAACATGAATACAAACATTCTCGAATATAGCTCTTGATTTGACTATGCTTGGCTGAAAAAAGTTGACGGAAAGGTTTTCAGTCGGAAACGATCATTATCGTCCGACTAGAAAATCAACAATTCGCTCAAAAATTGAGAAAATTTCAGAAAATTGTAAAAAGATTGACGGAAAAAGTGCTAGTGTGACAGCACCTTTAAGCTAGTAGTTTAATTATCAGTTGTATTTCTCCTATCTTTCAGGCACTCAAAAAGTACCTGGAATCAGAGCACGAGGACAAAAAGAAGGCAAAGTATGACACTGGCGACTGGACACTGGAGAACATGAAGGCGAGTGTCTTTGGATATTGGCTTTTAATGTTTATTGATGAATTTGCTTGTTTTTTTATTTTTAGGATTCTCTTTTCTAAACTATGCAGATCCTTTTCTTTTTCTTCTATTCCATGGTTATTATAATCTTATTGATAGCATTGTGGTTAACTAGATCAACAGCATTTATAATCCTCCCCTTCTTGTATTCTGTTTGCCCTTCCGCTTCTATTATTGAAGTTTCCTCTTCTTTTCCCCTCTTTATTTATTTTTGTTTTTATTTTTTCAATATACCGAATAAATTTGCTACAATGTTCCTAAATATGCAGTAGGAAAAATACATTAATTGAGAAATAGGGGAGCATTGCTGTTTATTTAGAATGAATAAAAAAATATATATTCTTAACAAGGGGAGCATCAATGGCAAAACACATTTACCATGATGACCAGATAGTTGAGAAATCTGTACACAAAATTAATAAAGTGATAACATAACATAAGTTAATATCCAGGAGGAATCAAGAAATATGCATATATTTTAATACTAGCTGTGACAGTAATTGTATTGATCAGGAAGGTGAAGATGATAATAATTATGATGAAAAAAAAGGAAAAGAACACTTTTCTCTCTACTTCAAATATCAAAATATACTATTTGTAAATGAGACATTAAATAAACTTTTTTTTATTTTTCTTCTTACCCAACAGGACATACCCCAGCAGATGAACGGCTCAGACTGCGGGATGTTTGCATGCAAGTTTGCCGAGTATTTGTCACGAGATGTAGCCATCACATTCGACCAGCAGCACATGCCCTACTTTAGGCGCAGAATGATCTACGAAATTGTCAGGGCTACTCTTCTGTAAAGAGAAAGGATGTGTCTCTCTCTCTCTGAATTCTTTCCTTCCATCATTCTTTTTTCTTCTTCTACTTCTTCTTTTATTATTTTAAATATTGATCTCTTGCCCATTTTTTTTCTTTTCATTTCTCAGTTTTTCTCTTTTTCAATTTCTTCTGCCATTTTTTCTTTCTTTCTATCAATGGGATATAATAATCTCTCTCTCTCTCTCTCTCTCTCTCTCTCTCTCTCTCTCTCTCTCTCTCTCTCTCTCTCTCTCTCTCTCTCTCTCTCTCTCTCTCTCTCTCTCTCTCTCTCTCTCTCTCTCTCTCTCTCTCTCTCTCTCTCTCTCTCTCTCTCTCTCTCTCTCTCTCTCTCTCTCTCTCTCTCTCTCTCTCTCTCTCTCTCTCTCTCTCTCTCTCTCTCTCAGATAAGAGACATTTTCTTTCTCATTTCACCAAATACAATGACCTATTTATAAGCCCACAAGAGGCAGGTGTTAGAAATAAAGAGAATGAGATGAGAAGTATTTTATAGGAAATTAATCAGAAGAGAACATTTTGTCTTCTTTTCTTTTCTTTTTTTCTTTTTTTTTCTCTTCTTAATAGCAAGCTGTGCCTAGTTAGAAGTGATTTTTGATCAAAAGATTGGAAATCAGGCATTTATCCCTTTGTTTTGTTTTTATATTATATCCCTCCCCTTTGCTCTGGGGCCTTCACATCATTGCAGAAAGCATACCCCTGTTACCTTGACAGTCATGTTACCTTTTAATTGTGTAATGCAATAAATAAAGAAGAAAATGGATGTGTAGCTGTTCATCGGGGGTGAATATTTTATTTTCTTTAATTAAACGTTTCCCTGCTAGAAGATAAGTCGAGCATTATATATAATACATATGGCAAGCAGACTGTATATAGTATTTACCTGTAACCTATCACCTTTATAAGTAAAGAGGTATTACATAGTAAATGGGCGTTGGTGCTGAACTGCTTAAAAATTAACATATACCTATATACTATATATTATTGTCTGCCAACATGTCATAGAACTTTTCTATTGAATAAAATTGTGTACTACCGTCTTGAATTTATTTATTTCCTGTGATAGGATTAATCCGAAAATTATACCCCACAATTTATAGATTTCTTTTCCTCTACATAATAGTACATAGGTATGCTGTATACTAGAAATGGGGCTAATAGTGTTTTTAGTGTCTATTCCTCTCCTTGTGTTGCACCCGATGTTGCACTTCATGAAGAGAATAGCAAAGCAAGATGCTTGCACAGCCACAGCAAGAGACATGGCCCAGATGCTAGTTTGAAAATGATATACATATAAATAGTTATATGTACAGCACATATATGACCATAATTACAATTGTAAAAATAAAAATGGAATACTCATTTGAGTCTAAAATCAATAAATATACATTTTAAAAAAAAAAAAATACTTGATTGTTACTACAATTTCATTATCAGAAATTATCAGAT